TTATGCCATTTAACTGTTAAATCAAAAGAATAATTTGTGATTGAGCAATAATTGGAAAAATATTGAGTAATAAATTAAGCTAAACAAATTTTTTGTGCTTGCTTACATTAATGCATGCCGTCGATATTGTTAAAAGAAAAGATTTGAAATTGAATATAAATAAATTTATTGCACATGCATGGGTTATCCACAAAACCCAACCCCACAATGTAAGAGAGACAGCTTATTTTCTCATGAATATCAATGTTGAAAACATATAAGATTGGTATAACCCATTAAAGTAGCTTAATTATTTCTCTATATGTATTGATCCTTTTTATCTTTGTTGGTCCTACCTACTCAACTTTTTATCGTATTTTTCAAAATGGGTTTTGAAACGTAAGAGAAAGATATCTATGTTTGCAAGCTAATTATGATTAGACTAAAAGGAAAATAGATATAATATTTTAAAAAATTTATTAAAATATTTTAAATTTTTATTAACTTATTACGTTTAATCAAATTTTTATATTTTTATTTTAAATCAAAATATTATTTATAATTTTATATCACTCAATATTGACATGACATAATAACATGTTGTAATAAATGATGACGTGACATATTAATATAAGTTAATGATAGAATCACATAATATTTTCACTTTTCACGTCAATATTATATTAACGTCATATGAATATTAAATGATAAGTTATATTTAATTAATATTAATTAATTATTATTAATAAGAGTATATTTGATAAAAATAAAAATATAGAGATTTTTTTATACAAGGAAAAATATCTAACTAAATAACAATTTACATCATTCTAGTTGAATTTATTCATAACTTGTCTACAAAGATATAAGGTAAAATTCCTGATGGAGGAAGATCGAAATTGTGAAAACCTATAAAAAGATTATCATGATGAGTGGTCATCTAGTTAGTACACTGATTGATTTTAAGATAGATACGAGTATAATAAAAAAATAAAAATTTATTTAAAATATTTTAAACATTATGTCTTAAAAAAACTTAAAAAAATAATAAATATAGTTACTATCATAAGACAATTAGCATAGCTAAGCCTACATGCTTTTAGCATATTACCTTACGCGAGAGAATCAAATTCAAGTCGTTAGTTAAAGTTCAATAAAGTGATTATGCCATACAAATGTGATTAAAGTTTATTGTATATAAATATAAATAATTTTAGATTTGAGTTTTATTAATTATCTAGTTTTATGTATGTCAGGTAAAAAATGAATAAATTCGATGATTTTTTATATGCTAATTAGAATAATTATTTTAGTTTATGTGGAGAAGACAATAGAGGTTATCTTGTTGGTTCCATCTATCCAACAAATAAAGAAAAAAAATGTAAAATTGGATCCTCCTTGTTTTCATCGAACTGAGGAGAAGGTTTTGGGACAACGACATCTGCAAACTTAGTTGAATCACATGATTAAATTAAAACTATCCACGATTCATGTGACATTGCCAATGACAGACACAAAGAAAGAAATTATGAGTTTCGTTCGGACCACTACAGCTCATTTTCTTGAACCAGACATGCTTCTACATGTCATTCCGGAGTTGTGATCTGTCTTAATATATATCTCGTGGACTCCACCTCACGTGTGCCCAATCACATGAGTTTTTTCACTTCTCTTCTTCTTGTAATAATTTCTTTTACTCTCGTTTGGATGAATGGTAATGTTTTGTTCTTAAAATGGTGATAAAAAAATATATTTTAATAAATTAAATTAAATATATAGATCAAAAACTTATGAATAATAAGAGTTTTAAAATTTGTACTCAATTAGTTTTAAATTAGATATTCATCTTAAAAATTTAATAAAATTTTTTAAAATAAATATTGTCTAAATTTTTTAATCATTTTATGAATTTTTTATAATTTACATCATGTGATAAGTCTATTATCTCTATACGTTAGAGATATTGAAATAATGATAAGGTTATTGGACCACCCTTCACTTACTATAGCTTTAAACCAGTAAAAATTTGAGAAACCTAGGTTATGACTGACTTCATAGAATAAAACTGAAGAAAAAAAAAAAAAAAGAGAACCAACACTACTTGAATTGTAGGGTGGAGGAAAAGGGTACTAGGCATTAGGTAAAGATGATAATTCTCACAGTAAAGGGAGTAGTAACCAAGTGTAAAGGTGAAAATGGCACATGAGGGATGCCAATGGGGGCTGGTTTGCCTTGGAAGCTAGAGCTGGCCCCAATGGGAATATATGAGAGACAGAGAGATTGCGTTGGCTTGAGGCAAAAAAGGTTAGAAAAGGCCCTCCCCCAAGAAAGCTGGAAAAGGGCAGCATTCTTGGTTTGTTTTGTTCAAGAAATCCGTCTCCAGGCTGATTGATGCGTGACTCCATTAAACTACTGGAATCCCTTTGGAATACCCCATCTCCCACCTCATTTCCTCAGTCAACAACCCAAAGCTGAGGCTGGCTGAAGCAGGGTGGCGGTTTGGGTATGTGGGTCCATCTACCACATGGCACCACGTGATTTGTTCATTATTTATTTATTTTTTTACATACAAATTGTCAGCCTATTCAAACACATTTTGCATAGGGTATTCTCCTTTTTAACATTGTGAATCACATGTTAGTATTAGCCGCTGGTGAGATTCTTTAATTACATTATCCAAATTGGAACAAGATTAATCAATTAGCTTAGGTCAATGTGGATTGTTTCATTTTCTTTTTTGCTGTCAAAAAGTAATGTCAAACTTTTCTTCATTTCATCATTATGTTTAATTTTTAAAATTAAAACTGATTAACTAAATATCTTATATTTATTTAAAGATATCGAAAACGACGTCTCGAAAAATTTTTAACAACTTAAAACTTAACATTGAAACAAAAAAAATTTAATCTAATTTTAACACAAAAAAAAATCACTTTTCTCGAGTTTTGTTATTCTGGTATTTATACGTGGCAATTATCCTCTTGAGATGGAGGAGATTGACTAGCAACTTGATGGCTGGTGAATTGTAAATACAAGGGAAAGAAAAGGGGGCATCAGTATGCTACTAAATAAAGGGGGACTGAGGGAGGAGTTTGGAGTTGAAGGAAGTATGAGATTTCTTGACGTAAAAGCAATGAGCAAAAGCTCATTCAATAAGGTCAATGAAAATGGTGTGAGGTGGGATGAGGAAATTTCTTTTGCAGGTTTTCTGTTCCATTGGACCTTTCAACACAGACTTTCTAACAAACTAAAATGGGAAGGAAATCAAATATCTCAATATTAGATTTGTTGAAGTTATGATTAGTGTTTCACCCTAGCTTTAGCCAGGTGGGTGTGAAAAGGCCCATTGGCTTGATAGGATAATTATGGCTCCAAATTAGTTAACTAGGTTTAACTATTCCTTTTTTTTAAAAAGTAAATTCTACCCTACATATGAGATTTCAATTTTTTATGAATTTTTTTAATTAATATCTCACAAAAATTATTTTTCAATTAACATTCTGTGGATAATTTCTGTTTATACAGAATTTAAGTTGGTAATTTTGTTTAGTAAAATTATAAAAATTTATGTAAGTGAAAATAAATAAGTTTAATTTTTTAATTGAGACTATTTTAATAATTTTATGAGATAAAATTAATACTTTAATTTTTTGTCAAAACAAAAGTTATTTATAAGATTCTAATTGAAAAAAAAATGTAAACGGAGTTAAATAAATAGTAAATAAATAAATAAAAAGACATTGGAGGAAACATTAATTTGAGATTAGGGAATGTGTGTGATGTAATGACCTTTTTTTTTTTTTTTTCTTATAAGCCAAACTCTTTTTGCTAGTTGCTTGAAGAAAAGCTTCCTTGTCAATAATGGCAAGAAAAGAAAGCAAAAATCTCCAAAATTCTAAGCAAGTTGTGCATTTGTAACGTAAGGAAAAGAATGACAAAGGGGAAAAGGAAAGGTGATTAGATGACAAAAACACAATCAGAAAACATAATGTTAATATCCCTGGAATCATCAAGGGCTCATTTCAAGACAATAAGTTGTAGTCTCTAAGATCTTAATAAATTAAAAAACCAAAATAATTTATTATTATTTATGATGAAATACTCGAGATTTGGCTTGTTGTAGCTTGGGTAGGTACCTCTCCATTGCCCCTACCATAAAGAAAGGACAACAGGCTTTGTTCCGCACTTGTCTGGGTGTCTACTCCATCAAGAAGTGAAACACGTCCGATAAACTGTTCTAAATTCAGAGAGTTTTAACCATTCAAAAGCATTAATCACCCAAAAGCCAATTTTTACAAGGAAGGCCAACGTTTGACAAGATGGGACCTTCTGTTCGAACTCTGATCAAAGATTTATGAGTCAGGACCTGATGAATCTAATCCTGCCTTGGGTGGCAATAAAACATAGCGACACGATCTTTGTCTGCTCTTAAAGAGAATAATGTTTTCCTAGCTGGATGCTTCCCGAGCCCTGAATTAATGGGATGTGGACGTTTTCATCCCCCAAGTTTTGAGACGCCGAAGCCCCCACTTTGCCATGGAAAAAAGGGCAAGCTACGGAACACTTGACAGTTAAAACTTAGAACGACATGCAGGACTTTTGTTCTTTTAACATGTAGACAAATGTTTTTAAGTTGTTTCCTCAAACAGCAACTGCTAAGCAGTTGCAAACAGCAATTCAAGGTATTGTTGGATTTAAATATAAATTTTGAAAAAACAAAAGTAGAGGTGTCCATATCTAGCTTCCTTTTTTTTAAAGCCAAGCTCAAGCTCAAGCTCAGCCCGATGGAACCATTTAATTATTATTTTATATTAATTTTTTAAAAATTTAATATGAAATATAATATTTATTAATAAAATAAATTAATCGAGCTGGGCCGAGCTTGTGCCTAAAATTATGCTAAGCTCAATCCGGCAATACCTCTAAGCAGATCTAGGCAATGGAAACAATATAGCACAAGGGTACTCTGCTCTACCAGCCTTAGTAACAATTCTTATTTTCTTCTACTGCAAATAAATATGTACAGAAATGTAAACCAGCATTGTTAGCTGAAGATGACCTAGGAAAGTAGAAGACAACAAAAGGGCACATCCTTTCCATCCATCTATATATTCTATTATGAGGCTAATCATGAGCTGTCAGCCATGAAGAAATTTTTCTTAGGAAATTTGGAAGAAACATGGTGAAAAAGAGTTCTGGAACAGTTACACAGTCCCTAGGAATGATTATGATAGGATGATGGAGTGGGATACAGAGGTACACACATGCCAACAACATATTGCTCTAACATATCACACCAAAAAGTTATTATGAACTAACTGCAAAATCCAAATGGTATACATTAAAAACACTGATACCTATTCAGTAGATAAATTACCATACTGCCATGGGTTGAATTCAATTGAAGCAACGTCAACTTCATTGACACTGTCTGAGCTATCTACAGCTGCCCGATGGTCAGTGTATTTACCATTGTAGCAATAGATTTCTAAGTCACCCCAAGGTGTGGCTGTAACTTCATCTGTCAAATCAAACCATCTAGGGGTAAACTGATGGCCCTTGGCCTCTCGTGTCCTCTTTTCGGCTCTCTGCCTCTCCTCCAAACTGGAAGAATGAACAAAAGATGCAAATTAATCTAGACATTGGAAGGAAGAATGCAATATTCTTAAACCATGAGAGGCAACTACTACATTCCGAATATGTAACTCGCTGATCTTTTCCCTTCCTTTTAATTTAATTGCACATGAAAATTAAGAGGTGAGGTTAAATAGAAATACTGAATCAAGGTACAAAGAAAGCACCTTCCTATTGAAGAGCCCCCCCTATTTCCTTTTCTTTTTTTATTTTTCCATTAAACATTTGAGGGAGCAATTGCCATCCCATAAATAGCCAGTCAAGATGGAGAGCTTATCTTACAAAATCCTCAGAACTACAACCATTAAGAAAGTTTTATGCATCTGTTGATCAAGGTATTCTCATCAAAAGTATTCTTTCTAGAGTAGAGTTGCATCACCATATTGGGTCAAGTTTGTATTTTAAATGGTATTTGATAAGAAGAGATTAAATAAGAATAATGTGTGATAGAAAGGCCTAGTTTCTGGCATTTATTCTATAATCCATGCAGGAGGCATGAAGTAATTGTGAGAGATCCCTCAACTCCATTTAGGTGTTCATAGCTTTTTTGACTTTTTGTATGTGTGCAAAAATTTTTTAAGTCTTTGTATGTGTCTGCACGCACGCGCGCGCGTGTGTGTGTGTGTGTGTGTGAGAGAGAGAGAGAGAGAGAGAGAGAGAGAGAGAGGGACCAGCTCTTCTCAGCACCAGCCTTGGATAAATCACCCTTCTCAAGTGCAAATCTATCAGGTCGCAGACGAGAGTCGGATGCTAACAATTTCTTAGGAGCAGTATCAAAGCTGTTTATTTTATGTGCAAAATAAGTGTACTGAAATTTGTCATTTTCAGGAGCATCAGCAACATGCCAAATCTGCAGACCAAAAATAATATGCAAGTCATAAATCTGATTAAGTTCATTAGTCTCGCAACTCACAAGCTTGTTCATGAGCTCACATAGAAGCTAAACTTACCAGATAGAACCTTAAAACAGAAGGATTGCATTTTATATTTCTAACATTTAGATAAACGCATGAAGACTCGAGGCCTTTCACAATATAAAATGACAGCCAGCCAAGCATTTAACATGAAACCAATAAAGAAATATTTCAAGGATATAAGCAACAGATAAGAAGGCTAGCAACCACCATAATATCTACCATTCTGAGGAAAATTAAAACCTGATGACATAATCTCATTATAAAGAATAGGTTAACTAAAGCAGTTGGTTACTAACTAAAATGATAAGGGACAATGTTTAAGAAAGAACCTCTTTCAATTCTGTGCCCTGAAGAGGTTCCCCTTCCATGTCACATGGCTGATAGCTCATTGACTCATTCCACTTCCCTGTCATCAATAGTTTAGGTTCCTCATCTGCATTATAAACATATCCATCCACTTCATAGCGACCAGCTCTGCAATCAAATAAAGCCATAATCAATCACCACTTTGCCACTAGGCACTAGCTGGTTGCAAGTAATGTGGAAGTAAGCATATTAGAAACACAAAGTGAGTCCTGGAAACAAATTTTGGGGAGAAAGGGACTGGTCAAACTACATAAAACATATGTATCTGATTAGTATGAATCGCTCAAATAAATTAGCGTGGGGTGCATTCTCTGCACACAGAAGCCTTCGAGAGAGAGAGAGAGAGAGAGAGAGAACAAGCATGGATGACAAAATAGGGACACAATTTGATGCAAGTTAGACCTCCAAACTGAATTTTGGCCACCACTCATTTTAAGAATTCCAGATGTAGCAATACTATTTCCTTAAATTATATATGACACTGTATATAAATGCCAAAAGATGCAAATGCGTAAATTATTATGCTTAAAAAATAATAATAAAATGAGGTATGAAGAATACCCAAACCAGCCACATGGTTGAAAATACAACACAACTTTGTCCCCAGTAGTCAAATTTGTCATGATCATCTCTCCTGGTGAATCAACCCAAGTTCGTCCAAAAATCAGATTGTTAACCTTCGTGGGAGGAGGAACCAAATCTAAAACCACACCATCTCTTTTAAGAGTAACACGTGTTCTGCTTAAGAATAAACCTAGATGAGAATTACCTTCCAACAGAATATTAAACAATAACTATACCAGAAAAACAAGAAGACATAGAGTGAAAAAGATAGTTCACAGAAAACAAACAAAGTATTACCTTCCAACAGGATACACATCAAGAGAATTCCCCAAAAATTTAGTCTTTAACTTTGATGTCACATTATAAGTAAAATGTTCATTTTCAGCATGCCCAGCACTCATTGGAGGATGATGACTGACCTGAAATGATAATATAACTCAACATGAAAGAAAATAACAGACAAAGTAAGTTGTGAGAACATATTTTTCCTAAGCTCAAGTTGTTAAAACTAAACATACATGAACCCAGAATTGCTTTCAGAAAATGAAAGAGAGTGGACAAGGGAAGGCCTAGAAATTGCAGGCACCAAGTAGCATAGACAGACATATTAAGAATGAAGGAGACCAAGCTTAAGATAATGAAATAACTTAAAAGTCACCTGCTCAGAAATGAATGTAATGCCTCCGTGATTAACCATCTCATATGTTTCCCCAAGAATAGGATTAAAAGGTTTCCATGTACGTTGATAGGCATAGTACACAGATATAGCCCATGATGCTGTACAGGATCATGAATTCCATTAATAAAAAAACAAAAACTAGAACTTGCCTCATTAAATAAAATAAAATAAATGAAGTAGAAGCACACTCACCCGCATAAACCAGCCTGAGATAGGGATCCTCACATTGGTCTGCTTGGTCCAACAAGTAGGAGTATTCCATCAACTGCAACAGGCATAGCACATTTACATATCAAAAATGAAAAATGCTGCATACACAGTAACAAACCTGTGCTAAGTAAAACAAACCTCCGCCATTTTCTGAAGCATAGTCATTGGTTCAAATATGAGGACAGGAAGCGTCACCATAGATGTAACATCTGAACCTATATATTTGTGCATCATCTTCCAGTAGCTCTCTCGTTCCTATTAAATAAAAAAAAAAAAGTGTTATCCTCAAAATATCAGCCTAAAAAAGGAGTAAAAATAAAGTAAATACAGAATGCATCTCTTCATCTCCATAGCCCAAAAGAACAGAAAAAAATTACAAGTACAAGGGCCTAGTTTTTCCATCTTCAAATATTAGTTTTCAAATACAACCTCAATAATAGTCAAAGAAATATTAAAAAAAAACCCCCCAAAAACTAAGAGTGATTCAACCATCTTTAAAACTTCCCACAGAGAGAGACGCAAGAAGAAGAGCATCTGTCCATCAGACCCATAAAACAGAGAACTAAATAACATGGTTATAAAGATGTATACATCCTGCTCCCATCTTCCTCTCTGAGCTTCCTCCTCAGCATCTTCTTTTCCTCCCTCTGGATTTATGACTTCTACCCCTTCATAACCAAGTATCCTGAAAGTCATAGGAAGAAGAAAAACATAAAATTTCTCCTTTATAACAGGCGAATAAGACAACTTTAGGATGGAAACCAAAAATATAAATGTAGTCAAAGCATTCCAATCATTCCCACAATTCACAGTGATAAGTGACAAGAAAATGCAGTGTGCAAGACAACGCTAAAGTTATACACCAGATCAAACCAAAGGTCCGATCAACTTTCTCAAGAAATGCACAAACGAAAACTTTATGATTAATCTATATTATAAAGTTCGCAAATATGAGAGGCTGTAAATTACTAACTAAAACAGTACAATTGTTTCTCCTACAGCCATACACAAATACACACAAATGAGATTCATTCAACGACATTCTTTAAACAGCCACAATTAAGTTCTTGACTAATGAGAACTAAAGTGACATTTCGACAATTTGCCCAAACACCACCCAAGGTGCCTAAGCAATTACCCACTAAAAATTCCATGCACAACCTTTTGGCATTCTATTGGGAAGGCTAACCTAAGAAGGGGGAAAAATAGTAAAAGCATGACCCAAACCAACTGAGTTTTGACACATAGCATGATGATGCCTGGAAAGAAGACGAAAAATGCAATGCAAACCATTTAAAGACAAAATTTCATAATAAGAAACCTATCAAATTAATAGATATTCACAGCAGCAATCATGAAACAATCTAGACAGCCAATAAACAAACCTAGGCATCAAATCCCTTCAAGTTTTTTTTTTAAAGGTGTCAAATCCCTTCAAGTTGACAGTATATAATATTGACACGTAAGAAAAACAGTAGCACTCTTGTTTAGAATGAAATGATTACATAACTGGATTGACTTCAGTAAAAGGAAGTAGAATCAACCTATTTCATTAATACAATTTAGCAGAATTGCAATTGTCTGGAACAAGTAAAAGTGATTTGAATGACTACTGCATTGCATTGCATTTCATCTAAAGATGGAAAAGTATCAAGGAAGAATCTTTAACAACGAAATCAAGTCCAAAAGCAACTTCTTTTAGTTGTGACTGCAAAATAAAGTAAAAACCAAAATTCAAACTGAACCGAATTTAATTTTGGAATTTGAAGCATTTAATGAACTAATGTGATGCTAACTCTAAACAACATCAACATTAATTGCCAAAAAGCCCCGCAATCGTTTTCCTCCTTATCAACCTAAAATTAACAGCTAAGCATTTCCAAATAAAGAACGGCAGCCTCTCGGTTCAAAATGATGTACATTCCAATCAAATGATTAACCAATAAAAATATGTCAAATCAAACCACTTAAAGCAGCAGATCATAAAAGAAAAAAAAAGGAACAAAATTTGAAAAAAAAATCGAAAGAAATGATCGTATAATTCAAACCGTCAGCTAAACGATTTAGCTTCCGGACGTGATGCTGGATTAAACAATCTAATCCTACTTAAAGAAAGAAACAAAGCCAAAATGACGACGTGATTAAGAAAGAAAAACTGCAATGGCAGGGGAAATTTACCCGTTGACAGATCTATGCATGGCGTAACCAAACTGAGATAAACCTGACGTCATCGCCGCGAAAAATCCTTTACTCTCATTCTTCTTTGGACTTCCCATTACCCTTTTATCTTTAAATCTTTCCCTCTTTTGAATTTGTTCAAGAATTCAACTTAAAAAGCTCAATTTGAATTGTCCTTTATCTATTCAGGAATCGAAGCAAGGCGGAGAAAGCAGATAGGAAACTTTTGATTCCCCGAAAGGAAAAATATTTATAAGCGAGGATAAGAGGCGGAATTCGCTGGCGATTGTGCTTCACGTGTCGTGAATGCCCATAAAGCATAACGAAATTGGGCTGGACGTGGCCCATCACGAGCCTCGACACGGCTTCTTTTCCCATCACTGACTTGTATTAGCAGTACCGTTTGAAAACTTTATGCTGAATTTACGTCGTTTTAATATACGAAATAAAATAATTATTCAATGAAAATAAAATAATTATAATTATCACATTATTTAGTTTAGTAAAATGAAATATAATAATATTATTATTAATTAATGCGTTTGGTTTGTGAGAATAATGCCATAGAATATGTAACAATTGAAAATATAAAGACCATTTTACTCTTCAAAATAAACATGTAACAAGTTCATTTTACCATTTATTTTTAAAAATTGGTTTAAATTCTTTTTCTATTTTAGATTTTCTTTTTTAAAAAAAGAGTTCAACTTCAAAAAGATTTGAATGTCAATTTTTTAACATTTTAATTTTAAAAAATTTATTCAAAAATTAATCCTGCAGCACACAATTTAAAATCCTCACTATTAATTAAAAAATTAAATTTTATTTTATTTAATGATTGAGATGTATTTTTATCACAAAGGAAAAAAAAGTGAAAAAAAGAAAAAGATAAAAGCCATCTATAATTTGATTATCTGAGGATAATAATTTTAAAATTTTTTTATTAAAGCTAATCTCATGAAACAGTGATTGCATCACGTGCACTGCACTGAGACAAGTTGTATAATTCTATTAAAAAAATAAAAAATAATAAAAATGATAATCTTCTTCTTCTTCTTCTTCTTCAGACATCCAATTCAAGTGCATTTTAGATCTACATCAAAGAATTTCGATTTTTTTTCAAATATTCCTAGGCTTTAAAACCCTATCCCCAAATTAAATTCGAAAATTGATTGAAATTCTCTCTTCTACTTATCATTTTCAACTCGGAAAGAGTTCTTTCAAAAATTCAATCAAAATTGACTATGAAAGAAACGAAATCGGTTAAATTGAATGCACAGCAACATCAGCAACACGAAAACGGTCACTTTTCTCCGTTCAAATTCGCCAAGTTATTAGATCCGGAAGCTTCTTGGGACAAGGTAAATCCTTATTTTTTTTAATTGGTTTTATCGTTGATTTTGTTGACTTTAATTGAAAGTTACTAATAATTATGGTGAAACACTAACTGTGATTGCAGTTATTTTTACTTTAATTATGCTCTTAATTGAGCTAATTCAGTTCTAGAAGTAGTTTAATTTAACGGGATTTTTTTCCCTTCTAAATGGGGTTTAAGTAAGATGATCATGACTGTTATTGAATTGGGTGAACTTTGAAAGAAAAGAAATTGATGATGGGCTTGGTTGATTTTTGGAGCAGGATCAATTAGGAGATGTATTGCATTGGATTCGACAAGTTGTAGCTCTTTTTTGTGGTTTATTATGGGGTGCAATCCCTGTCGTTGGAGGCATTTGGATCTTCATGTAAGTTTTTAAATTCTGTTGCATGCATTAGTAAATTGCCGTGTTTGGGATTCGTATTGGATTGTTGAATCTGTTCCAAGTTTGGTTAGTTCACTAGTTATTTAGATGCCGTATTCTGATGTGACCTCTAAGGAATGCTGCTGTGATGGTTTATTGCTAATTCTAAAAAAGGAAGGGGGTTTTGGAGTTTACGCTGGTGTAATTAGATGGGACACTTCTTGTTGACATACAGTGATCAAAGTTTGAGAAAGTTGTAGATTGGCTAATGATAGAATTACCTTTAATCCTAAAGGGATTGGCTTGTACATATCTAGGGATTCTAACATTTTCTTTAGCTCTCAGGGTGGCTCAGATAATGCATGATGATTTAAATTTGTGCATAAAAACTAGAGCAGATTGTATTTTAGGAGATAATTTTTGGGTTTCTGGTTATTACTAAATCTAGTGGTGCATTTTGCTACATTGATGGAGCCTCTTCGTACATCTCTGTTTTCTATCTAAAATTTAAGGCTGGACATGTCCATATGCATGTGCATGTGCTACGGAATCTAACATTGGATGGGTAATGGAGTCTTGAGCTTATAACTGTGGGTGTTGCACACCCCAATAGGTTAGCCTTTGGAGGAGAGGGTAATGCTCCTTGACAAAGTGGTATTAAAGCCAACCTAGACCTGACTTCGATGTCATGCCAAGCGCTCTAATGAGTGGAGCGGGCAGGGCGATCTGACTGCCAATGAGTGCATCATGGATTCAGGTGGGAGATAATGTTACAGAATCCGACATTGGATAGGTAAGGGAGGTCTTGGGCTTATAAGTATGGGCGCTGCACACCTTAATAAGTTAGCCTTTTAGGGAGAGGGTAATGAACTCGCGACACATGCCACTACTTCTATTTGATGTAGTTTTCCTAGGCTATATTGACAATTTTAAATATACTATCTACTACTGGTGTTTTAGAATTGATGAGTTAAACAGATAAGATTTCTACTTGCATTTATGGAGCATGAAATGTGTATGTCACCATCCAGTATATTGGTTTCAGCCATTTTAAAACTAGCACATCAGTTTTCTAGTTTTCCTGTATTTAATTAGGGATTTGTGCAGCCAACTTCCTCTAAGCTGAATGTCTTGATGTCCACCTCATGCTTATGAACAATTCATTCAATAAGCAAATATCAGAAGGATTTCCGTTGTCCTGTTATATGTTTCTTATATTTCTGTGCTAAACTTTTAGTAAATCGTTTGGTGTTTATATTGGTTTGCAGTTTTCTGGCAATATCCACTGGGATTATATATGGTTATTACGCTATGATACTAAAGATTGATGAAGAAGAATTTGGCGGTCATGCAGCCCTTCTCCAGGAAGGGCTTTTTGCTTCAATAACTCTGTTTCTGGTACTTACGTAACTTCTTATTATTTCATTCATGTTCAAATGCAGAATTGCAAAATATTCCAAAAGGGAGCTTTTCCCATGTTTATAGCTAACGAAACCCCCTTTTTCTGTTCAGTTGGCATGGATTCTGGTATACAGCTTGGCCCACTTTTGATATGCTTTGTGCCATCAATTTGGCTGCTCTCTGTTTCTAAGTCACATTTCAAGACTTTGATCCTGTTAGATGAGGAACCATTCATTTTTTCTCTGAAAACAATGAGAAACTTTCTTACTTGAGAAATTCCAATAGATATTACTTTTTACATTTCATTGTGCAACATTTTGAGTTTGCAGATCATCAGTCTAGGTTTTAGTCATGGTATTTGCATGTTTGATTTCAGTGTTACCTTCCCATAAACATCCCACAGAATGTAGCAGTATGTGGTACATGCACCCGATGCTAATCAAAACACTGTTTTTCTTGCTTTAAATAATCTATTGCCAGCAAACTTTCTGGTTGATATAATATCAGTGCTAAATTGTGTGGTTTTTGGCAGCTAAATATTATTTTGTTTGAAGTATTATTTTTTCTTGAAAGAGGGGAAGGTCGGGTAGGGGGTTTCTTGGCCTCTCCATGGTTGCCTGTTTGTGAATTCTTCCATAGGCATTACTTGTGGTTCCAAGACATGATGTGTTACTCAATTATTGTGTCAAGGCTGCCCTATTGGGACTGGGGGTGCATGGAATTTATGCAGTTTGTCTTATATACGAATTGTCCTAGATGCATGAAATCAAGTTTTCTGTTTCTTTTTCTCTCTCATTTCCTTTTTATCTCCTTACAAGGCATTGCTATTTTCAATCTTTTATCACCAGTCATTCTTAAAGATGATGGATAACCCATGGATATTATGTCAATATAGTCTACGGAAGTGTGCAGAGTCAATTTGCACTTGAGTTTTTGCAAAATGTGACCCAAAGTAGACGACTAAATCAAGCATGTTTTTCAGTGTTTGGACATGGGATAACCATGGGAACTTTAAAATAGTGACTAGGAAACCCCTCAAGTCAGTGTTGTATGATTTCTTCTTAAAATTCAGTTCAGATATTGGGATATGGGAGACTGACGCCATGAATAGGATTAGAGTGGATATCTTGCGGCTGTGCCACGAATTGCTCCGATTCAATCTTGCTGGGAGGTGCATGATCTAGACCGGGGCTGTCATGCTACTTTGCCAGGCTACAAGATTTTGTCGATTTGTTTCTCAAGTGTGTTGCAACTAGAAAATTTTCATGGAGAAGCTCGATGCTTCCCTACTTCGGAGCCAAAGACATCAATCGCACGAAAGGCTGCTCTTCTGCATGACGATAGCATTGTTCAAAGGCAAAAGATAACTAATTAACTTTTTCAAAGGAAGATACTAAAGTCTGCTTCACATTTAATTTCAAGAGTCCCATCAGTTAATTCTACAGTATAAGAAGTCCTGCAGTCTATTCTGTTGTAACAAAAACTTCTACCGAGATCCTTTTATTTTGTCCCTCAAAAAGAGAGTGAAAATCAAAGAGGAAAGAATCATGCTGCTATTAACAGTTGTGATGACTCGCGTACGGTTTGTAGACGGCTCACATCCACCTCCGATTTCTGCCTCTTCTTGAGACAAGGTATACTCGGCCATATACCCATCTTCTCCCTACTCTCGAAACAGATTGCTGCAAAATGACAATCATCAACAGTGTCAACAAAAAACCTACTAACATGTGCTGGAAAGTAACTGAATAGTTTTCCCGTCATTCCTATTCCTTGTACAGAGTAATTTATTATACATAAATGGTACACAGAGAACAAAATCGGATGATGATTCAAGCCTTTGATAAACACTGAGAAAAACTATGGAACATAGAATTGAATCCACTGAAACTACAAATGTGATGATAGTGGAGCATATTCAATGAAGGCATTACTCAGCAAACATCAAGAGATATGAAATCACCTAGAATGAAATAATAGCTCACACATTTCTCTTCCTAAAGCTTGACTACCTTCTTAGGTCCTCATTTAAATGAGCTAAAGAAAAGGAAAAGAAGCAAACTGATAAGGAAACACTATCCAGGTATGAATTACATTACCTCAGCCTTGGCACGAAATTCTAGAGTGCATTCACAGACATGACAATCTGCTCTATGGGGAGAGTCACTGAATTTATCTGATTTGAGAAATGCAAATACCTACAGGCAATTGCTAAAATCAATTAAGACTGACTGGAAGCCTAATAATGGTTATGTTTGTAGGAGAAGATCCAATGTCTAGGTCTAGAGATAAGTTGAGGAGAGAAGAAGAATATAGCACCGTTGTCGCTCTGAGACATAAAACAAATGCAAGAAGACAATTGTTAGGACTCACCTCCTCCCCACAATTTGGGCATGCCCCCTTCAGTGCTACCAAGTCCTTCCTCCATAGTCTTTGAAGCACCCGAACTGGAAAAAGTAAAATTTAGTACAATTCTTGGGTCAGTAGAACAAAATTCTCCAATAAAATGAGATTTAAGTGCCCAACAACCCAACCCAACTGAAATTATTCAACATTACAAACCAATATGCTAGCTCAAAGCCTCTTATTAAAGATTTTATAATACACTTCATTGTGTGGATAGTTAAAAGCAAAATAAATATCCCTTTGTTAGAGTCTCACCAGCAGCTGATGCAAGCGAATAGCCAATCACTGACCCAATGGCCACAAAGAGAATGCCATTAACAGTGGCAAGATACTCAAAGTTCGATGCTTGACTTCCATAGGAAAAATCCGAACTGAATGGATCTCGATACGCTAGACTAATGGTGTAAATGAGAGGCACAAGACAAAATGTAGAGCCAACTGCAAGAATCAGGATCCATATGCTTGCTAACGCCAACACTTGAGATATATCTTCCTGCCCTACATCCAGAATGCTCAATATTCAACCAGAGAAAGTATAAACAGAGAACGTACCGTTCCTCCCACTGCCAATTTCCAACACAACATAACCATACAATGGATCAAAAAATAAAATTTGCCAACAGATCTCGCATATAGAGAAATTAGTGTATAAGACCTTACTACCACAACAGCTGTAAGCCAAACTAATCAGGGTGTAACATGTCATTAAAATTTGTCATATACATGTCAGTATTAATGGGTTTACTTCTTATTTTTATTCAGTTGAAGACTCAATTATACAAACATGATTACAACTAATTCCTAATAACATGCTGCATCCTGGTCTGTTGAACCTACAGCTGAAGTGGGACATAGATAAAGCACTGAACAGAACATAAAAACCAGACAACAATGATTTGCCAAAAAAAAAAAATGATCCTAAAGAGAATTACCTCTGCATCTGCATAAGTCGAATGTCGCCTGATACTGCAACGAGGGTACTTAACAACGGATTTTGAACCATACCAACGTAGCTTTAACTGTATTAAAAAATTCATTTACTATATATCAGTGAAAATTACATTATAAAAGAAAAATCACTAACTCATAAAAGATTAAAGATTTACATGTAGTTACCTCTACTCTATCAAACATGTCATCAACTATCAAAGGCTCCCCACTGTAATAAGAATCCCGTGCCTGATCATTTCCAAAAAAAAAAAAAAGACTTTTAATTAATTCGATTAAAATTTTGGTTAATTTATAAAATAAAAATTAGGGAAAGTAATAAAGTTTCTTACTTGGCGATAGAGGGCTTCTAAGGTTTCTTGACTAGCGGTTTCGATAGGGCCAACGAATATGCAAGACGGAGCTTCATCCTTGGCGGTGGGTAACCCCTGGCTCTTGGCAGAGAAACCCGAGACCCGAACCGAGAACGGAGGCTTTGTCCGGGAAGTCGTGGATGAGGGTAGCTTTCCGGTGGATCCAATCACATGAGGTCTAATGGAGTGGCACGTGCCGGCCATGAACCATAGAAGAAAAGACAAATGGCTGCACTGCTACCACTGCCGTGGCGAAGCGAACATTTGGCGTGGAGGAAATGATTTTGTGGCCAGAAAAAGGGAAAATCGAATGATTTGATTTTGGAGCATTGGGGGTTTGGGGGATTTGGCTTAAATAGGTTGATGAGGATTGTGACGAGAATGCCCCGGCTTTGAGGTTGTGATTCGTTTTTGGGCGCGTAAATATCTGGTTGGTGGGTTCTGGGCCTTCCGCCTGATTTTTCCTCTTTGCTGATTGGTTCCTCTGCCAAAGTAAAAGACAAAACAAGAATAACTGACAGGAAAAGACACGTGCGTCAGCCGGGAGTCGAACCCGGATCTATTGCTTGGAAGGCAATTATCCTAACCGTTGGACTACTAACGCTGGCTTGACAATGGTGCTCCATTTCGGTCTATCGAAGGTTCTTTTATCCGTCCTTTTTTTTATTACAAAGAACCATTGAAGGTCTTGAAAGTGATAGTGGCAATTAATTGAAACAAGGATGAATTTTCCTTCTGTCACTTTCACCTGATTGTGCCTTAGTGATAAGATTACCATAAACGTGTAAATCCAAAATTGCTGTTACTTGTTAAGCAAATACACAATCATGCATCAATGGAAGAGAACCTACCGAAAAGTCACTACTCATTGCAAAAGACAACCACAGAAACACTTTCAAGAACGTATTCTAAATTGATATAGTATTTACAACTACAACAAAACAAAAACCTCTTTGTTTCTTCCTCTAGTTCTTTTGCTAATACTTGTCCCTAACTTGACATTCATGGAACCCCGCCCCCCTCTTTATCATATTCATGTGCCAGGTTTCCCAAGTTTGCTTGAAAAAAAGGGGTCCCATTCATGGACCCCTAGTTTCCCAAATGTGAAATACTTCCAAGACTCTTGTTCATCAAATTCGGAATTCACTGGTTGCCCATCTCTCATTTGGTTCCTCACCGTCTCAACTCTGTCAAGAACTCCTTTAATTGTGAGATCAAATGCATCTTCGATAGTCCCCAATCTTGATGAGGGGTCTGCATATATCACCTTTGGAATCAACCTTATAACCTCCTCCCTCATAGCTACTCTTTTCTCTCTCGGGATTCGTTGCAGTATTCTTTCAATGTTGGCGTTCCCAGATTTCACATCATTTGCCGGTATCAGCACGGAGTATTTGGTATAATCCTTGGGGAAATGCCATATATATTGAACATAAGCTGAACCTGGATGGAAGAAAACTGGAATGCAACCAGCCAAAATTGAATCAAATATTGACCTCCTGGTGTAGGAATCCCCTGGAGGCTGTAAACAGAACACAGAACTTTGAAACAACTTCATCAAATAAACTGGCTTGTGGCACTTCTGGCTTTTATCACATTCAAGGAACCTGCATTTCCTTCTTGAAGCTAGGCACTGATCAATAATTTCATTGCGGATAGACTCATGGAGATTAGGCCTTCGTGCACCCGCGAAAGAGAACAAGAATCGCCTTTTCTGTCTTCTCATTCTGTTCTGCCATTGAAACACGTCATCATCTCTTGAAGGATGAAAATATGTCGGATATGGTATCGCGAAGTCATTGTTGTTCCATGGACTTGACTCAATTACCAACATTGTCATATTCTTTGATTCAGGAAAATTCAGAAGCTCATTGCCCCAATCAGACTCGTTTTTGGGATCTCTCCTGAAATCCCAATTAATTCTTCCTGCTACCAGGAAATGGTCTCGACCCCACATTTTTTTCCATTCAGGTCTTGCAGCGAGCCACTTGACAAGATTAACTGCATCATAGTCTCTCATAAACCCATCAGGATCCCAAAGGTAGCGACCAACATCAAGGCCAGCATAGTATGGAACATAGATTGCTGAAGCGACAGATGGATCTTTAGTTAAGCACTTGTACTGCTTCATTCTGTTGTGGAAAATGACTTCTAATAAGAATTGGTTTGTAGCAAACCAGCCTGTTCTTGAGTAAAGCTTTTCATTACTTGGAAGAGTGGCACCTAGGCCAAGGTTCGATGCGCACTCACACATATCTGTCCAGAAACTAAGTGACCGGCAGTTGTCTAGTAAGTCTTCATTGAATTTCCTGGGGAGATCATGAATATATATGTATCGCCCGGAACAGGAAGAAGAATCAGATTTAGCTCTTAGCACATTTTGTCTTCTTGGTATTTCCACAGCAACGTTTTCTATTCTTTTCTCCACGACTGGAGAGGAATCAGCAGGTTTATTCCCATTTCTTCCCCTGGAAGGCTTGGCCCTTTCCCTTTTGCTCTTGACAATGGGAAATGAGTCAACAGGTTGATCTTCATTCTCTTCTCTTTGTAGTTCGGAAACACTCTCAGTTCCCTTTTGTTTGGCCACTTCTTCCGTTCCTTTTTCTTCCATTGAAGATGGATCAAAAGGTTTATTATCCTCATCCCTGGTATTAACTGCTTCAATACTTAATTGATCATCTCCATTTTCTTTGCCAGAAAATATATCCACAGATTCAGTTTCATTCTCTTCAGCCATTGTTTGGTTGTCAGCTTCCAAATCTTTGTCCAAAGCCAATACCTGATCAACATTTTCAGCCCCATCAACGGAAAAACTCATTGGCTTTGGCTCTTTTTCTGGTTCATTACTGGCCTCTTCCACATTATCTCCACCACTGACATCTGTAACATCAGTAGAATCTCCTGTTTCTTGTCTAGCAACATCATGAAAAGACTCAGATGACTCTACAAAATCCGTATGGTTGTTGCCTAAGAAACTATCTCCGTTCTTGCCAAACGTTATAGACGAAGAATACAAGTAAAACAATGTAAACCATAAAAGAAAAGAGATCAAAACAAGGTACCAGGATTGGTGTCGGCAGCGGCACTTTCCACTCATTGGTTTCTCCATCAACGCTTCACTGCTCATTCTATGATTCAAGCAGAAGCGTCTTTATACATATAGAATATACAAAGCTAGGAGATTGTGTTAAGAAAACAGAGGGAAAACATAGACAGAAGGAAAGAAGGCTAATAGGGTAAAAGAATCTGGAAAGTCATACAAGGTTTGCTTGAAAAGCAATGGAGGAATTTTTTACCAGGGAATGAGAGAGAATAGCTGTTTGAACCATTCAAGATTTTGGTGCATTGAATTACATGTTATTAAAGGAAAACTTCTATATATACATACCATTTTCCGGGTATAGAGAAAATCAGTTAGCTTTATTGCCAGTGGGGCTTAATTAAATGAGATCAACCCCATGAAAAGAAAACTGAGGGCTGATATGCTACCGTTCGATCATTAATCAGAAGGTCATTGATCAAGTCTGAGAGCAAATAGTCCAGTGATCAAAGCTTGTATTTATTGACTAATAAGCCTTCCTGTAATCGCTAGCCATTAATGTACTTGCTGACTGATGAGAGATTACCTTAATGGTAATCCCTAGCCAAATCTTTAATTGCTCATGCTTAAATGGCTTGTGCTTCTTTCTGTTAAAATGAAGAATTCCAACAGACAACCTCGGGTTAGCTAGCCCAGTGAGGAAGAAACATATTGAGGCTAGTGGCCTGCCTGGCTGCCTTTAGGCTTATAACCATAAGGACCTTGGTGTTGGTATTGATTGGACCAACTTCCTGGAAAGGAACCATTGAATCAGTGTACACTCAATCCAATCCTGGTGGCCCCAAATTTGAAGTCAAATGCATATTCTATAAATTTATTTGGGTAAGTGTTCCACTACATACTTGGATGATCTCTATACTATTTGAATACAGTTTCCATCATTTCCATTGACAAGAGTTCTATTTTCTGAACAAACATTGCATTTGATCATAAATTCTCAATACAATCACCAAATTTATATAGCTTTTGCTTTTAAATTTTAGTATATTTACTAAATTACATTTATTTAAAACAATTGTGTATATTAAGGTTAAGGGAAACAAAGGATTTGAAAGGTGACAACAACTATTCCATGCTTAAATAATTCTTAAACCATATTCACTTTAAAGCAATACTTTAGTTTGCATGGATTTTTTTGATGAAAATGAAAGTAAACTAACTCCATCTGCCAACAACTCTAGACAAACATCAAACTTGCTAGATTTGGGGTAAAGGGCCCCCCAATTTTGCAAAAGAGAATGCTTAGCCGTCAATCCTTTGGGCTTATCTACTCCTTCCATCAGGTTCAAGTGCTTGTCAATTACATAAACAATTCTTCAGACTCTTCACCAAGCCATCAGTCAAGCAAGCCCATCAGTATTTCTCGTGGAAAATAGTGAAGTGCCGTTTCCTTCTTGTGAAGTCAACTTTCTCCAAAAGTTACGTATTAGTACAATCATACAGTTTTTTTTTTCTTCTAGAATTTATGTTTTTTTTTGGAGTAAAATTTGTCGAGGAAGGAGACAGGTTAAAATATTAGGGATAACAAGTGAATTTATCACACGATATAAATTATAAAAAAATTAATCAACAAGAATAAAATATTTTATAATATTATATTAATTTTTAAAAATAAATTTAAAATTTAAAATTAATTGATAATAAAATAAATTTTTTATATTTAAATTTTTATAATGTTTAATTTAATTGATGTGACATTTTTATTTTTATTTTTTAGTATCTGAGAGCCTCCGACACCAAACCCCTGTTTATTAGCGTTTGTTTGTTATTGCCATTAGGTTGGGGTGTTTCTGCCTTGAATCTGTTTGTTAACTTTATTGAATTAAGACCCCGAAGCACAATGTCCCGACAAGTGTCGAACTTGGGATCATCTCCAAAGATTTTTGTGCTTAGAAACAGAACAGAACCCAATCACTTATTAATTCAATTTTCTTTGGACAGTTTCAAAGTTATGCTCTCTTCATCTGTCCACTTTCCCTTTGCTTTCTCTTGTGGAAATCAACATCGTACAGAAAAATGCAAGCACATATTCCATTCCTATACTAGAGTATATTAATTATTTATTTCTTTTTTTTAAATTTGTTTCCATCGTTTAATTAACTTTGAAAATCTGAGCACTTAATGTAAAATTTAATTGCCAGAAATATACCTTAATTAACTCACATTGGATCTCATTAAATTAATTCAAGACCAATCATCTTACCAAAATTATCATAGCCTCATTAATTTGATCTTACACGTTGTAATCAATCATAAACTATATTATATGCAATGATTTTGAAATTAAAAAATAAAATAAAATCATAAGATTACAAAATCAAATCTTAGATCTTCTAATCTGTGCAGCAGAATCTGTCTTATGTCTACAATAATGCATTCTCCATTACTTGCACTTTACACGTGTACGTGTTTAAAATAATGTTTTTTATTTTGTTTGTAAATGATTTTTATGTATTTACATGTTGCATATATTCCTATTTTTTTCAAAAAATAGAAAAAAATATGTTCATGCATCATTAAATAACTTTAGCACATTATACTACAAAATGTTTCTGGTTTAATGAATTCTATATCTATATTTAAAAAAATTACAAAAGGAATTCTATATTTGTTAATTATTAATTAAAAATCGAATAATTTTATTTTTGAAAATGGCACGACTCTTTGTATTAAAAATGTAAATGAATCGGATTAGATTAGTTGACATCTTTTCTGTTCAATATTCAACTTGGCTCATCTATTTAAGTTAATGTAATTTAAATTTATTATTAAAATATAAATGTATTTTTTAATTACAATTTTTAATATTTTCAAATATATTATAAAATTAAATAATTTTCTTAGATATAATAACAATCTGATTAAATTGAATTTAAAAAAATTATATTTAAAACTCGTCTAGACTTAAATTAGACTTGATGCCTGAGTCACCAACCTATGAAAAGGTGTATTTTGGATCATTTTATTTTAATTATGTTCAAATAAAAAAAAGGAAAAAAATCATTTGAAAAATTAAAAATCTAAACCTAATTATACAGCTTCAAATAAGGGTGTATAAATAGTTGGGTCAATATTAACATTTTAAAAATTAAAAAAATTAAATTTACTTTTTTAAAAAATTAAACATACTTAACAAAAATCAAACTATTTTGATCAGCTCGATTGGTTTTGAAATATTGAATTCGAGCAAATTTTAACAACATTTTTAGCAAATTTTAATATAATAAATATAAATGTAAATTTCAACTTTTTTTAGCAAATTCAGTAATAATTTTAATAAATTTATATTTAAAAAATATAACATATTAATATATATTATATTTAAAATTTTTATTAAATCAAGTAAAACTTTGTAATCGATTTAGTTAAAAAATTTACTCATTGAAAATCAAATCAATCTGATCAAAATAATCAAAATTTGAAAACCGAACTTATTGATAATTGATATAACTAAATCAAATTAATCGAAACCTAACTTCAAAACCTCCAATTACATTAAAAATAGGACAGCAAAAACAAAACAAAACAAAAGCAGACCCCATCCCATAAAAACAAGAAGCAGCAGCGGCAGCAAACGCGAAGCTTTGTCTACACACGGAGATAGGAAGAGAAGAGAGAGAATCCGTGTAATATCAGGAAACCAAGCAAGGCTTACAAAAAAAAAAAGAAAAAAGGAGATTGACATTCCAGAATCGTAGAACAACATTAATTTATTTCCATAGAGGGAACCCCTGTATGTTTTTTTTCTTGTCTTTGGTTCATTCCTTAACTAAAAACCAAACACAAGTACCCGGAAAGTGTGAAAAGGGAAATCCCCATATGTTTTCTCCTCTTTGGCTCTGATTTTTTTCTGAAGTGAAGAAAAGGGTGGTTTTTTTTTTTGGTAGATGGGGATGGATTCTGGGATTCAAATCAAGGTGACGAAACCCAGGAAAGGAGACAATGTAGTGCATCCGGTGGGACCAGGTCATGCCACATCATCATCGCAGCCATCCACGTCATCACCGCTACCTGATGGACAGCGGAGGCAGCATCAGCAGAGCCAGATGCACGGGCAAGGGCAGCAGGTACAAGGGTTGATTGAAAAGCCATTCAAAAAGTGGGTGCCTTGGATGGTTCCAGGCTTTGTTTTGGCTAATATTGTCGTTTTTGTAATTACCATGTTCATTAATGATTGCCCCAAGAACTCGGTTTCTTGTGTGGCAGAATTCTTGGGAAGGTTTTCTTTTCAGCCTTTCAAAGAGAATCCTCTTCTTGGTCCTTCTTCTTCTACGTAAGCCTCTCTCTCTCTCTCTCTCAATGCATATATTTGTCTATGTTATTTTAGGATATCTTTTAGAAAGATATAAGGTTTTATAGTTTTTGGGGATTTTTTTTGTTTGATAGAAATTTTGATTGGTAAAGTTTGCTGCAATATTTACTTCTGTTTTGTTGTTTCTTATTTTGGGGGGTTGGGATTGTTTAAAAATTTTTCATCTTTTATGATGTTTCTGCATTGCTTATTTGTTGGTTCATGTTTGGTAACGTAGCAAATGATATTGGAGATGAAATCATGGTCTTGAGGTGGAATATGTAAACTTAACTCACAGAAAATCAGTTGCATGGAAAATTTTGACATTAGTTGGTGCTGGAATGATCATTAATTTTGCTTGTAGAGAATGATCTTGGCAAATTTAAAGTGATAACAAAACAATTTGGACAGCCTAATCTGGCTGGCAATTCCACAAACTGGGCAGAGTGCATTTATGGAGATTAATATATAAAATGTAAGGTCAGTCATGATTCATAGACCACTTTTGGGAAGAAATGATACCTGGGTGCTACCAGTTGTTACAAGTTCTACTTTAGGTGTCTTCTTGGAAGATTATATAATAACCAAGATTTCTTTGGATGCTTTTTCTTTAATTATCCCAAAGTTGTTGAGTATCTACTTGTAGGCTGCTTTTCAGAAAATTGTTTTTCGAAGTCATCCTTGAGTTTGGTTTATATACGGTTTTAGCTTGCCTTTCAAAAAAATATATCTATATATATATATATATATATACACACGGTTTTGGCTATGAAAATGTATTTCAGTATTTGTATATCATTGTTACAGTTGCAAATTACTGGTTCATTGCTGACCTGTCCTGTTATGTTTTTGTTTCTTCAGATTAGAGAAAATGGGTGCTTTAGAAGTGTCTAAAGTTGTCCATGGACATCAGGCATGGCGCCTGCTTG